GACCAATCCCCATATGCTGTCTTCTTCATCTGGCTTCCCCTCATTTCCTAATATGTTTTGTTATAGTGTATATTTCAAGTCTCTTGGGGCAGCCTTTATCAAACAATAGTCAACAAGACAAATTAATTTTTTTTTTTCAACAATGAAACAGAAGATAGTAACAAGGAATTTACCGCTCAACTAGGTGTCATGAATCATACTAAAAAGCAGTTAAGACATCGGGAAAGAGAACTCTTCATGGTTCAAAGTTCCTAAGAGATACAGATGGCAGGAAGAAGCCGGAAGACAATCGCAAAAAGAATGTGATATGTACACATTAACACACAGGGAAAAGGAGGTTGTAATGGAGATCTTTCAAGTCATTATTTTAAGCTAAAATTGAAATATACTGTATGCATATTTTTTAAGACCCATCCACTAATGCAAACATATTTGATCTTTTGTAGTAGGTATTGCAAAGTATTGTTTGGATGCTATTTACATAAATACTTGGTAATACCAGGACACTCAAAAAGTGATGCAAGTATGCAGACCACTTACACAAAGTAAGATTTGATGGTAGTTAGATTTATGCCTTATTTGGTACGTAGAAATTGAGTGACGTGTGAATAGAATGAAACAGGAATAGAATGGAACAAATGTGGGAATAGAATGCTCATTTCCATTCTCACTTTTAGGTGCGATTAAGAGAATGAACTGGGAATGAGCATATGTGGAAGTGATGTATAATGTTTTTTATTTCCACTTAAGTGGGAATGCCTATTTCCTAACATCTCATTGAGAATGGTCATCCTCATATAAAGTAGGAATTGGTGAATGGTGAGAAGTGGAAATGAGAATTCTAGCTTCCAAATATATGTCATGTCTGGTACGAGGAAATGAGAAGTGGGAATTGGCATTCCATGCTCACTCATTCCCATGTACTAAACAAAGCATTAACATCCCAAAGAATAAACACATAACTTGCATACTCATTTCAAATTTTAACATGAAGCATGTGCTAAATTGAAAACTCTAGAAGTAGCCCAACTTATTTTAGTATGTGAACATTGCACACCAAAATACTGTACTAAAAACACCAAATCAAAAGACCATAAACAACAAGAAGGTCTTTTCAATGTGCAAATGAGATGCATGATCATACTCAATTTTTGGAGAAACCACTTGTTTTCTATCATTTCACCAATTCCAGTTGTCAATGCAATCCATGAACTTCAGGGAAGTCAAATAACAAGAAGCCTAAGATCAGTTCCCTTGCAAGGTTCTTCTTTTTCTTCGTATATAATATACGAACAGAATCTAGAAATAGGAAATAGTTAACAACAACATAAACCACTCTTTGGCAAGTATCCCCAGTCTATTAAAAAGCCACTTGTATCGTTAACTTTTTTAATTGCTTCAGAAACCACCAATGAATCACATGGCATGAGGGACCTATCTCTGCTACAAGCAATCTCTTCTGACCATTATCTCTTTAACTCTTATAACAATCATCTCTTCGATGAAGTATATTAAAGTTAAGACATGAGTAGATCCTTAAGTAAAACAAAGACAAGCAGAAGAATAGTAGAGCATAGAATGCAAGAGCTATATATAACTTCATAAAGTCGTTTTACTAATCTTGATATGTTTTATTTATTAAGGCATAACTTATTAACCAATATATCTATAGACTATAGCTGCCTATTAACATAAAACAATCTACTATTTTGACAGTTCGACCTACTGACATCAGTTCATCATCAATTGTGAACTATTTGGAAATTTTCTTTTGTCATATAACTGCTCAATAAACTCATTTTGATAAAGTAAAATGATTCTTAACAGATTGTATTATTCTTAAACTGGCAAATAATTGTACAATATTCTTAATAAAAGCAAGGAAAAATTGCAAGCCAAGACAAACACATGCAGGTGAAGCTACAAGTTTCAAAACTGTAAACAACTAAACTGAGAGCTTTAGCTACAGCTGGACACATGAAAACAGTTGCAACAACTGCAGTGGCATGCAACTGGCACTTGCATCGTAATTACATTTGATTTACAACAAACCAATCATCCCCTATGTATGGGACTCTCCATAGAACAAAGATGTTTAGGGCGTGAAATTGATACCCATAAAACTAGAGTGAGGTGTTCATCTTTTAAGTAAATATTGTAAAATTTGTCTTGGAAGCATCAGAGTCGCTTTGCTTGCAAACCCAAAAGCTTTAGGTCATT